AGACTCACCTGCTCTGTCTCTCTTCTGCTGATGCTTCACTCCTTTTCTCCCTTTCCCTTTGCTTTTCGGAGGCATCCTCCTGTGAAGTGATACCAGTGCTCCCTCTCAGTAACTGGTGATCACACACTGGACTTTTAGGGGAGAAAGGTGAGAATGCCGCCCCAGCACACAGAGGAAAATGTCTCTCCTTCCCCAGGAAGTGAGACCCAGGGACATGGGGTTGCCATGCCTCTGCCAGGATGGCTGTCCTGCCAGCACCTGTCCTGCCCGCTACCACGGACCTCAGTCCCTCAAGATGCAGCAGTTGCCTTCAAGCTAATCCCTGCTGTTGTAGCAACTATTTGCAATGAAGGTAGGTTGTTATCTGGCCCAAAACCCACCTCTACCTTGCAGCAGCTGAGCATCTCATTCCTGTGACAGAGGCGTGGATCGAACACACCCCATGCCCAGCGCAGTGCCAGGGTGGTCCAAAGCCAGCCCTGTTCCCCAGCACTGGACTAGTCACATTTGGCTGCAGGATTGCGGGACACAGCTCTGATCAGGTAGGCTGGACCTCGTCCTGCTCACATCCCAGACCAGCCCCAGCACGGGTCCAGCTGAGCTGTGGGGAAATGGGGACATGGCAGGGAGGGCGACTCTCCCAGGTCACAGCTTGAAATGAGCTCGATGTCTTCCTCCCTTCCTGCCCTGGCTCTCCCCTCCGGCACACCCTCTTGCTCAGCGCTGTGAGTTTTGCCCTGGGGACTGTGGCTGGGTTTGGCTCCTCTTTATAAAATAGGAGAGGAAGGAAGGGAGAGGATTTCAAAATGCTGTTTCTGCTTAGGATGTGATTAATCCCAAATACCTGTGAGTGAGCAGGTGACTCCTGGGTGCACGGCAGTTCTTCAGAAGGACGCGGACCTCGTTGTGTGGGCAGGCCAACAGCAGCCAGGCGGGAGCTGGTGTGTGGGGAGGCTGCAGGGCCATCTGCTGCCAGGACAACCTGGGGACGCCTGGCAGGGACAGGCGTTCCTGCTGGAGGAGCTGGCAGGGTGGCAGGCTGGGTGTGGAGAGCCAGGGGAGCTGGACCTGGGCCAGGGATGATGGTGGGGGTTGCTCCCCTCTGGAGACAGGCAGGCACAGAAGCTGGCTTGCACCTTGTGCACAGCCATGCCCACGCGTCTGAAACCACCGCCCAGCCACACAGGGCTGAGCAATCTGAGGGGCATCAGTGCATGTGCGGGCCTGGCAGTTGGCTGGCAGGCAGTGTGGGGCACACAGAAGGGAAAAGGAGCACACACTTATGCCCAGCCTTGGCTGGCACGACCAGCAAGGGACCTAGACACTGCTCTCACCCACAAGCACACACGAGACGCATGCAGGTAGCCAGGGGCACCCAGGCACCTCTTGGCTGCCAGGTGCCAGGCTGGAAGGAAGTGATGTCAAAACAACCAGCATGATGTGGCTTTCTGGTGCAGCGATGGCCAGTGAC